TTTCCCAGCGTTTTCCACGCTCCCTGTTCCATCCAGGGAGAGTTGGAGGAGCTTCCCCATCCCTGCAGAGCCAGGTTGGGTTCTCCTCCTCTCCCTCTGGGATTTTTTTTTTTTTATTTTTTTATTTTTCCGGAGCCCTTTTATCCCAGTGGGATAAAGCAGGGACTTAAGTCAACAGCAGAGGGAATTAAAGCAATTTTTAGCCCAGTCCAAACATACAAATGCAGCCCAAATGTTTGCATTCCAAGATAAGGGGGCTTTTAAGAATAAAAACCTGTTTGAGGCCCCCTGCRGAGCTCCAGCTGAACATTTTCCACATTTTCCGCTGGGAGATTGTGGCCGGGGTATCCATGGAGCTGGAAATTCAGGATACAGGAAYAGAACCCTCTGCCCCATGTGCTGAGCAGGGAGCAAACAGAGCCTGATGTCACCCTGGGGCCTCTGGAAAATGGGRATTTGGAGGTGTTYGAGGCTGGAATTTTCAATTATCCTGATGGAAATCCCTGGATTTTATTCTTTGGGATTGGCAGGTAGACAAGGGAGGAAAAGTCCACACCCCACAGGGGCTGTGTATTTTTTGGGGAGCTTTCCCCATATTCTGGGTAGCTGTAATGGGGGAAATGCATTACTTTGCACCAGCAGCAAATTAATTACCTGGGAAGGGCTGGAAAGTTCCAGGTTTTTTTTCCAGATCCCAGGGAATGTGATTCCCCCCAGGAGTTAACGTGTAAACGACCCTGTTAGCAAATCCTGCCTGCATTAACCAAAACTGCCCCAAAGAGGCTAAAAATAGCCCCAAATGGACTTTGCCTCTGGAAAAAAAACAGGGAGGAAGAGGCGTTGGAGTTATTTTTAGGTGGAAAAAGGGATCTGGGAGGTTTGGAGGATGGGTTTGCCAGAGGGGGTTGGGATTCAGGGCTGCTTTGGGTCACTTGTCAAGCTCCAAATCCTGATTTTTGGGGCCATGAGTTTTCTACATTTCAGTGGCCAGAAAATGTGGAATTTCCCTTCCCTGCCCTTTTCCAGTGCCTGGAGCTGATAAACCTCCGACCCTCTGGAATCCCTTGGATCCTTCACATCTCCATGTCCCTAAAAATCCTTTTCCAGCTGCAGGGGCAGAGGCAGTGCTCACGTGGATCTGATGCTTTTTGTGAGAAAAACTGGGATGAGGGAATGGCAAAATCCTTCTTTTCCTCCCAAAAAAGCCACGGAGCCACCACAGGTGGTGGTGGTGGTGGTGGCAGCTTTTCAACCCCAGCTGGACCTTCTGTGGTCCCCCCGGCCCCTCTGGGATTGTGCAAGGTCGGAAAATGGAAAATCTTAAATGGAAAAATCTCAAATCTCAAATGGAAAATCGCCCTGGGCCGAAGGAGCTGGGGAGGCCAAGGGTTCTTYGCCTCCAGCTCCTCCCCTGCCCTGCCCTGACCTCTCGCCCTGAATTCCACCTGGACTCTCCCACCGTGGAATTCCTGCACCTAAGGAATAGAAAAATAAAACTTTTGTGGTCTCTAATCCCTGGAAAAAGAGCTGGGAACAGCGAATTCCTGATTTCAGGGGGATCTGTCTCACCCAGAGCCCTCAGGAGCTGTGAGCACACAGATTTCTGTGGTGATTTGGTGGTTTTTTTCCCTCTTCCCGTCCTCTGAGCCTGCTCAGAACTTCAAGTTCCTTCTAAAAAAAAGTGAAGATTGGAGCCCGGATTATCCGGGGCCGCTCCCTTTTCCCTGAAAAACCAGGACCAACCTTTGGCCGCTGCCGGGCGCAGCCGSCCCGATAAAAGCCATAAATCCCCAGCCCCGAGGGTGGGGGATGTTCAGATGGGCCCTGATCCTAAAAATGGGGGTGAAAAGCACTCTGGGGTGGTGTAGGGGACAGCCTGGCGGCCCCAGGGGTTTTAGGATTGGGATTTGGGATCCCAGAGGGAGCRGAGTTGCCTCGGTGGCCCCAAATCCTTTCCTAAAAGCACCAGAAAGCACCTGGGAACAGCAGGAAAACAGTGGCCAGGGGATTGTGGGGGGAAAAGGGATTTTCCATTCGGAAAAAGCGAATTTGCAGATGGAAACCCCGATTTTCCAGGTGCTGCCCCCAGGGGCCGTTCCCATCCCTGTTTCCCAATTTTCCCTTTCCCAGTCATCCTGACRGATGAGGAGGTGCAGAGGAAGCGGGAGCTGATCCTGAAGAGGAAGGAGGAGGAGGCGCTGCGGGAAAGCCTCAAACCCAAATTGTCGGAGGAGCAGCAGAAAGTCATYGACGTCCTGCTCGAGGCTCACCGCAAAACCTACGACCCCACCTACGCCGACTTCACCAAATTCCGGGTACCAGCCCCCAAAATCCCTCGGATCCCACCAATTCCCCTGGAAAAAATCCACCACAAACTTCCCCCCTGCAAAATCCACCCCAAAACTCACAAGTTTTTCTCGGTGTTTTCCTCCAGCCCCCCGTACGGAGCTACCCCAGCAGCCACGGGGCCCCCAAATCCTCCTCCCTCCTCACCCAGGACTTTTCCTCCGAGGATTCTGAGGATCTCTTTGGCTCGGACACCTTCAGCACGTTCCCAGGTGAGCTTTGGCTTCTCCTGGCCCTAAAATTGGGATTGGGAGCCTGAATTGGGATTGGGAGCCTGGGGAGGGGCACCGGGGCTGGGTTGGGTTTGGAGGTGGTGCCTCAAACCATCCCAAATCCCAAATCCTGGGCTGGGGAAGGGTCTGCCCGTGCCAGGCCCCAAACTAACCCTGGCACAAAGGTCTGCCCCACTCCTCTTCCTCTCATCCTRCATTCCCAGTTCTAAATCCCAAACTGGCCCTGGATCCCAACCCCTGTAGAACCCCCCATCCTTCCAAATCCCCTTTTCCCCACTGCTCCAGAGCTGACAGGGGCAAAAAAATACAGCAATTTCACCTGAATTTAGCTTTCCAGAGCCTTTTTCCCCCCTCCTGCAGCGTCTCATCCTGGTGCCAATCTCCCCCTGGATGTGGCACTGTCCCCTCAGAGTGTCCCCTGTCCCCAGATTCCCTGGAGCCGCTGGAGGAGCAGGATGAGAGCTCCTCGGTGAATTTGGGYCTGTCACAGCTCTCCATGCTCCCACACCTGGCTGACCTGGTTAGCTACAGCATCCAGAAAGTCATCGGCTTCGCCAAGATGATCCCGGGCTTCAGGTGAGGCCTCGTCACGATTAACCCAAGCAGGAGTCGTGATGGTTCGGTTATCAGAATCTCAGAGTGAAAAAAAACGGGGGGAATAAGTGTAAATTCAAAATCGTGAACAATTTTATTGGATTTTCACGACAGAAGAGGAAAGAGAGAGAGTGGGGTTATAGCTACCAACGGCTCTGACGAGTCCTACGAGGTCTGGATTCCATGGATTTGTTGAAGTCCATTGAGGAGATCCCATCAGGGTCTTTTCAGAGAGACTTTTTATAGTATTTTTGAAAGCGTGTCCCAAGGGGGTTGCAAAGTATTGAAAAACCAACCAAGAGGTGGGGAAAGAATATCCATTGTCCCATAAGATGTGAGCATGGGTTGTACTGTTCTCCACCGCCGTCATGTCAGGAACGGTGCAACCATCCGTAGTTTACACGTTGTAGGAACTGGAACATGGCAGACATCCCACCTTGATCTGGCTTGGACTCCTTTGAAAAGTCCCCCGTTCTCCCCCTTTGGGGTTTTTGGGGTGTTCAGTCTCAGTCCATATTGATGATCGTGAGACAGTCAAGGGTCCCTTACAGGCCTTGGATCCCAAACACGGAGCTTCCCGCTCATCCCGTCCCATCCCTTTCCCATTTCCCTGGGATCTGTTGCCTTTTTACCTCTGTTTTCTGTTCCTGCGTTCCCTGGAGTTCTCTCTTTCCCAAAAACCTTGGCARACACACCCAAATTCCAGCAGGGAATACCTGCAGCTAGTCCAGGGGGTGTCCGTGAGGACCCTCAGGCCCCATTTGCTCCATATTTGGACCCAAACCCCACCTGAGGAAAAAAAAAAAAAATAAAAAACACTTGGAACGGGAATTTTTTGGGAAGCCTGCCCAGCTGAGGGTTTGGTGACCCTCCTCGGGGGGTGGCCCCTGTCCCACGGTGTCCCCCCCGTGTCCCCCCGGGCAGGGAGCTGTCGGCCGAGGATCAGATCGTGCTGCTCAAGGGCAGCGCCATCGAGGTGATCATGCTCCGCTCCAACCAGGCCTTCACCCCCGAGGATCTGTCCTGGAGCTGCGGCGGCGGCGGCGCCTTCAACTATCGGCTCAGCGACGTGGCCCAGGGTAGGGCAGCTGCAATAGGAGCATTCCTGGGGTTTATTCCTGGGGGATATTCCTGGGCTTTTCATCCTGGCATTCCCAGAGTTTTACTCCCAGGGTTTTCCTGTTTTGTTGCCTCCTTCTGCGCCCAGCAAGGCTTTGTGCTGGGAAGGTGGGTCCTGCCCTGAACTGCCAGAATTGCAGAATTGGTGGCAAAAAAGGGCACCTCGATGTCCCCAATGCCACCTCAGTGTCTCCAGTGCCACCTCCTCAATCTCTCCCTGTCCTTGGAAAAGCATCGGAGCCACCCAGGGCTTGTGGAAGTGGGGAGGAGGAAGCAAAACCTCTGTGGGTGAATTTTGATGGATCACAAGAGGCAAAAGCTGCTCCCAAAACCACTTGGTTTAGAGAAATTTTGAGGAAAAGTGCAGCGAGGTGCCTGGAGCTGCACCAAAATTCCTTTTCCTGTGTCCCTGCTGTGCTGGGGATGCTGTTGAGCTCTGTGCTCATCCCAGATCCCCTTCCAGAGCCACACTAAAGGCTCCCTTCCCTTCCCTCCTCAGCTGGCCACAGCATGGCYCTGCTGGAGCCGCTGGTGAAATTCCAGGTGGGGCTGAAGAAGCTGAATCTGCACGAGGAGGAGCACGTGCTGCTGATGGCCATCTGCATCCTGTCCCCAGGTACGGGGGCACAGCCACCCCCACCCCAAMGGGACACGGGCGAGGGGTCAGCCCTGCTTCTGACCCTAAAAAGGGAGGGAATTGGCCCGAGCCCAGCTTTCGCTGAAAAAGGGTAAAGGGGAGGGAATTGTCCCCAAGGATGGAATCCTTCCCTAGCCCAGCTATCCTTAAAAGGGCCAAAAGGAGGAAATGCTCCTCATTCTGCCCCTCAAAAGGGCCCAAAGGGAGGGGATCCCCCCATTCTGCCCCTCAAAAGGCCCCCAAAGGAAGGAACCCCCTGAGTCCCGCTCTGTCCCCAGACCGGCCGGGCGTGCGGGACACGGCGCTGGTGGAGTCGCTGCAGGAGCGGCTGTCGGAGGTGCTGCAGAGCTACATCCGCTGCCGTCACCCTCCTCCCGGGAGCCGCCTGCTCTACGCCAAAATGATCCAAAAACTGGCGGACCTGCGCAGCCTCAACGAGGAGCACTCGCGCCAGTACCGCTGCCTCTCCTTCCAGCCCGAGCACAGCATGCAGCTCACGCCGCTCGTCCTCGAGGTCTTCGGCAACGAGATCTCCTGATTTTTCCGGAGAAAAAAAAAAAATTAAAAATAAAAAATAGGGGAGAATCCAGCCCTGCTCGGTGCGGGGAAAGGGAGAAGCCGGCGCTGGTCACGGCAGGAGGATGAGGGGATGTGGGACCGGGCTCAGGGTTGGGTTTGTGGGATCCTGCTCTGGGTTTTTCCAGTGAGGTTTCCCCCTCAGGAACGTTTCCCTGCTGGCTGTGAGAGCTGTTTGATCCCTTTGTGGATGTTTTGGGGCTGGGCTGCCTCAAAGCCCTTCTGTTTTGGACACTGGGAAGGGGAAGCGCTGGGAGATGAACTCAGGGCAGCGCTGTTGGGGCTGTCCCTCTCCTCCCCACAAATCCCACAGCACTCCCCTGCTCCCCACTTCCAGAGGGACGCACCCATGGGGTCGGACACGCCGAGGTGCCATGGATGGTGTCTCCACAGCTCAAACACACCCTGCGTGCTGCTGCTGCCAGACTGGGACCAGCCCGAGACAGCCCCGAGAGGGGAAATTTTGTCCTCAATCCTCAAAGGGACCTCTGTTTGCATTCCCTGGGAATTGGGGAGCAGGGAGCTCTCCAGGAACACCCCCACGTTGGAGCTGAACCCCTCTGGGGGGTGAGGGGATGGCCCCTGGGACAGGGAATGACCCCTGGGACAGGGAATGASCCCTGTGAGGGGGCAGTGACCCCAATTCCCACTTGGCCTCCTTGCCCTGCTCTATTCTGGAGGCAGCTCCAGGCCCCTGTCCCCATTGAGGTAAACCCAGGGAAGGGGGAAATTTGGGAATTCYGGACCCCCAGGAAGAGCTGTCACAGCCCCCCTGGACCATGCTCAGGGTCCAGAGGGTCCCTGGCTCTGGCCAATAAACTCCTGCTTGGGCAAATCAACC